GGTGGAGACCGTTCGCCCTGCAAGAGCGGGCGCGGCGAGGGGAAGGGTGGCCGTAAACAGCCGGGAGCGGGGCCCTGGGGGCCCTCGGGATTTCACGGGGGAGAGCCATAGCGGAGCGTGGGGCGTGGAAGGGCCTGGCAGTGGCGGGTGCAGAGGGGCGGGGCTGGGGGAAAGCGATTCGCTTCTGTGGCGTCGCGGTGCCCCTTGCCATCCGCAAAGCCCTTCTCTCCCTCTCCTAGCTCCAGCCTGAACCATGTTTTTCACCTGTGGGCCAAATGAGGCCATGGTGGTCTCGGGTAAGCCCCCGTCTCCTCCCAGCCTGCACCCCAGATCCCTGTGCGTCTCTCCTCTGCACTTTGTCTCGCCCCTTCCAGCTCCCCGGGGCCAAGCTTCTGCCCCAGCCCAGCTCCCTGACTGCTAGCTACCCTCCTGTGATTCCCAGTGCCCCAGCGCTTCCCTCCAATCCCCCCAGCTTCTAGACCCTCTGCACGCTCCGTTCCTCAGTCTGCACACATTCTACATCGGCCCACCATGGCTGCTGACTGCCCTCACCTCGCAGGTTTCTGCAGAAGCCCCCCAGTCATGGTGGCCGGAGGCCGGGTCTTTGTCCTGCCCTGCATCCAGAAAATCCAGAGGTAGGTAGGAGAGGAGGACTCGAACGGGGAGCCTCGGTTTTCTCATTCTCCTCCTTTCCTTACTGTCTCCCACTTCTTTTCCCCTTAGGATCTCTCTCAACACACTGACCCTCAATGTCAAGAGTGAAAAGGTTTACACTCGCCACGGGGTCCCCATCTCAGTCACTGGCATTGCCCAGGTGAGGCTTACAGAGCCTTTGCCCCCAAAGCCCACTCCCCGCCACTGTCCTCCAGACAGTAAGATTCATCTGCCCGCGGCCTTCCCAGCCCCTGCCTGCAGGGAAGTGTCCCTGCTAGCCGCAGCCTCTCTAGGCCCCTCCAGGCCCTGAGCTCCTCCTCCTTTCTCTCCCTGCTTCCTCCGGCTTTGAGATCACCACAGCCTCTCTGCCCTCCCTCTGGCTGCAGGTGAAAATCCAGGGGCAGAACAAGGAGATGTTGGCGGCCGCCTGCCAGATGTTCCTAGGGAAGACCGAGGCCGAGATCGCCCACATCGCTCTGGAGACGCTGGAGGGCCACCAGAGGGCCATCATGGCCCACATGACCGTGGAGGTGGGCCTCGGGGCAGGGTATGACTCCCAGTGGGGTGCCAGGATGCGCGGAGCCTGGGGCCAGGCGAGTCTGGGAGAGCCCGCAGACTTAAGCTTAAGTCCCTTTCCCCCACCGTCCTGCTGTCCAGGAGATCTATAAGGACAGGCAGAAGTTCTCAGAGCAAGTTTTCAAAGTGGCCTCCTCGGACCTGGTGAACATGGGCATCAGCGTGGTCAGCTACACTCTGAAGGACATCCACGACGACCAGGTAAAGCGGCCGGCCGGTCCTCCCTGCCTTCTCGCTGTCTCAGGGCCCCCCTAAGTGACCTCTGCACTTCTCCCAAGGACTATTTGCACTCTTTGGGGAAGGCGCGAACGGCTCAGGTCCAAAAAGACGCCCGCATTGGGGAAGCAGAGGCCAAGAGAGATGCTGGCATCCGGGTGAGAGACGAGTTGCCCGGCCCCCACGGGCTTCGTGGGCATCCAGGGGGAGGGGGCCGAAGGGTCACAGTGAGCGAGGCTGGCGAGCCCGGTCGGCAGGGGACGGAGATGAGACCCTGGTGGGTGGAGGCAGGGAGGGCTAGGGGGAGCAGGCTGGCACCTGCCCTGACTTCCTGCCTGACCTCTGCTTGGGCAGGAGGCTAAAGCCAAGCAGGAGAAGGTGTCCGCCCAGTACCTGAGTGAGATCGAGATGGCCAAGGCGCAGAGGGACTACGAACTGAAGAAGGCCGCGTACGACATTGAGGTTAACACCCGCCGGGCGCAGGCTGACCTGGCCTACCAGCTTCAGGTGAGGACTGCCACCCCGGGCGGGTGGCCGGCCGTGCTTTCCCCTTCGCATCCCTCTCAGGCCACCATCTCTCCGGCTCTAACTCTGAACATGTGTGCTCTCCATCTCTGACCGTCTCCCCTCTATGAGGGCCAATTTAAAAGACCCAGATGTGGGAACCAGCAGTTAGCGTAATGGCTATGTCGCTGGACTCCCACGTAGTCGACCGCGGTTCGCGTCCCGGACCCGGTGGCTTAAAGCTCACGCTGGGCGCGTGTGCGTGCGTGCCCAAGATCCCGAGAGGAGAATGGAGGAGAAGGGATTGCGGCGTGACTAT